AAATAACAAGGCATTAGTGAGCGTGCTGCAGACTAATCCCAGCTCCACCAAATACCAAACCAGACCATCTTGGACAAGTCACTTCATCAATTTTCTTCACCTATAATCAGGGGTGATTAAAAACAACATGCCATATTGGGAAAAATCTAACTAAATAATGGGGTTATATCTTTCAAATCACAGTATAAAAATAAGAAGTAGTCAGACTTCGGAAAAAAAAATTTGCCAAAAAATTTACACTTTTAAATCCAATGTTTGAGTTGTTTCTGTACTCTCAATGTGGTGTCATCATTGAAAGAAAATAAAGACATAGTTTTCAAACTACTAAAAGTTACAGCAAAGTCATTAAAGTGGCCATTAAAAGTCTTAAGGATGGAGTTGCATAATGCTCCTGGAATTTTCCATTTCAAATGTGAAGTGAGAGTATAGGATGATCTATTTAACAATCTAGAAATCAGATTCATCCATATTGCCAAGGGAAAGGACAAGGATTTCACTCGTGCTGTTTGGTCTTGGCAATAGTACAAGAGCCCAGGATTATAAAATTCACAATAGACCTATTGAGCCTCCCTGTTTCCTAGCAGAGGTTTAACTCTGTAGCCCTGGTTTGTTTTCTCAGGAAAGAATGCCGATATGTTGTATTACAGTAGCAACTTGGAATTTCCCTGGTTTGAGAGAAACTATTTAATTGTGATCATACAAGGCTAAGCATTGCATACTCTTATTGGAAGCTCATGTTCTAATTCTGAGTCACCTTTCTCTGCATCTGATCACCTATTACCTATTTAGAGTTCCAAAAGATAGATAAGATAGATTTTTTTCATTTATTAAATATATTTTTCTGATTTCTTATATTTTGGGGAGGAGATTCATGGAACTAAAACAAATAAGTAAGTTTCTATGACTTTCCATTACATAGGCCAAATTCTGTGTTTCAGTTGTATTTGTAGCCCATGCATTGTTTAATTTTGCAGATCTTCCTCTCAATATCTATCAAAGAAGGAAATGATGAAATCAGAAATTAGACTAAAATTTTATCATTCGCATTCAAGTAGGGACCCTGTTCCATGTGTTTCATCTCCACATTCAATCTATGGGTTAAACGTATATAACTGAAAAGGTACAAAATTATGTTAACAAGTCTACAAACTAAGGATCGTCTTTCTAATTTAATGGTAAATTGTTTTAATGGCTTATTCTCATTTCTCCTCCAATTCTTCAAGCACCCAGGGCCATGTATTTTGACATCCCACTGGAACGGGGAGAAACAAGTATTATTAAAAGGCATCCACCTCGAAGACTTGAAGTAAGATGAATTTAAGATGCTTCATAAAGAATTTCTTGGATTTAATAGTAACATCTCTTTTTAACTATCATCATAAAAAAAGGATATTTACTAACATTAATAAGAATATTTTTAAAGATAATTTTGCCAATTACAAAGACCAATCTACTTAGGATTTCCTTTTTAATGGTTTCATTTCCAAAACGAGCAAGTATACTAACAAGTACATGGGTAGGGGGACTCTGGGGCCTGAATCTAGCACTGACTCATTGGGTGTCTCTGGGAAATTATAATAAATAATAAAAACAATGACTACCACTACTACTCAATTACCACCTTCTACAAGTCTGATACTATACTAGACAACTTAATCTATGGCATTCATTTAACCCACTAAGCCCCCTATTAGAAAGGACGTCTTACCCTTATTTTATACATGTGGTCAGAGAGCTAAGTAACTTTCCAAAGACACACAGAGACTGAATACCAGCCAGGTATCAAAGTCCTTACTCCTAATCATCAGTCCAAATGATCTCTACAACTTTTATCTTTAACTTTATTTTCCCAGAAAATAAACTAGTTGTTGAAATTAGGAACATTAAATCTCAACAAAGCAAAAGCATCAAATGTATTCATCATAATAAATGTTTAATAGTTTCCCTTTAGAGGGATGCAGATTCTAAGAGCAACAAAGTCCAAAAAGTATCATCCTAGATGGCATTAGAGTAGATTATGCTAAGTGAAGCTAGCCAATCCCTAAAAAACAAATGCCAAATGTCTTCTTTGATATAAGGAGAGCAACTAAGAACAGAGCAGGGAGGAAGAGCATGAGAAAAAGATTAACATTAAACTGGGACGAGAGGTGGGAGAAAAAGGGAGAGAGAAGGGAAATTGCATGGAAATGGAAGGAGACCCTCATGGTTATACAAAATTACATATAAGAGGAAGTGAGGGGAAAGGGAAAAAAAACAAGGGAGAGAAATGAATTACAGTAGATGGGGTAGAGAGAGAAGATGGGAGGGGAGGGGGGATAGTAGAGGATAGGAAAGATAGCAGAATACAACAGTCACTAGTATGGCACTATGTAAAAACGTGGATGTGTAACCGATGTGATTCTGCAATCTGTATACGGGGTAAAAATGGGAGTTCATAACCCACTTGAATCAAATGTATAAAATATGATATGCCAAGAGCTTTGTAATGTTTTGAACAACCAATAATAAAAAAAAGAATTGTAATGCAAAAATAATAAGAGAGCTCATGTATAATGGCAAAAGAAAAAAAAAGTATCATCCTAGAAAGGGAAAGAGATCAGAGTGGGTCCTTGAAAATGAGCAACAGCTAAAAGGAGGGTTTGGGGCTCTCTCATGAGCAGGATCTTCCACTGACATTTGAGAAATGGGATTACAGTCAAATCCCACCTGCTACATAATTCACCCAGATGCCTGGGCTATCCCCAGGGGTATTGAAGCTTATTTTTGAGAATTATTTCTGTTTCGGTTGGTTCTTATTTGTCTTCTCCAGAAGCTCAAAATTATCATTTGAAATGATTATAGGCTTTCATTCAAAAAGAGCATCTTTTCCAAAATTATTAGAAAATATTCCAAAATATTAAAAACCTCAAAAATATTGTTTAGCTCAAGAAAAATAAAGTATAAATGTAATGAATTAACATCTAATTTTAAAGTTTTTGAGCATATCTGTGGATAACTTTAAGACTTGTTTTATTCCTAAACCAAAGTTTCCTTTCAATGGAGTGTGTTTAATATGTCTCTGTGAAGCTGACTTAACTCAAACAGAAGACATTACTATAACCAGTGAAAAACACCTGTGTAACACTGTATAGTCCACAAAGTATTTTTATCATCTATCAAACCTATAGAAGACAAGGTCAGGTTTGGGTTCTCCCATTAGTCTGTCAAGCTCAAAAGAGGACTTTGATATTTCAGTATCTAATACTACACCCCACACACTAACCAACCACCTTAAAATTAAAGTCAAGAAAAATATCTGGGCTCAGTGTTGCGTACTTGTCATCCTAGCACCTTGGGAGGCTGAGGCAAAAGGACTGCAAGTTCAAAGCCAGTGTTTTAGTCAGTTTTTTTGCTGCTGTGATTGAAAGACCTGATTAGAAGAGTTGTAGAGGAGGAGAAATTTATCTGAGGGCTCACGATTTCAGAGATCTCAGTTCATAGACAGCGACTCTATTTCTCAGGATTCAAGTGAGACTGAAGATCATGGTGGAAGAGTGAGGTGGAGGCAAGCAGCTCACATGATGATGAGAAAGCAGAGAGGTATCTCCACTTATATATAAAACATATACCTCAAAGGTACAACCCCAATGACCCAACTTCTCCAGCCACACCCCACCTGCCTTCAGTTACCACTCAGTTAATCCCATCAGGGAATTAATTTACTGATTGGTTTAAAATTCTCATAACCAGATTATTTCTCCTGTAAACCTCCTTGCATTGTCTCACAGCTGAGCTTTGGGAGATACCTCACATCCAAACCATAACAGCCAGCTTTAGCAACTTAGCAAGGCCTTAAACAATTTAGTCTAAGATCCTGTCTCACAATAAAAAAATTTTTAAAACTGGGCATGTACTTAGTCATTAAGTGCCCCTGAATTTAATCCCTGGCACCAAAGAAAGAAAGAAGGAAGAGAAAGGAAGGAAGAAAGGAAGACTGGATAGATTATGTGAGTACAAAGGCTATGTCTCATTTAATCATATATCTTCAGCCACTAACATTGTGTGCCACAGAAAAGTCAGTTGGTGAATGAATGAACATCATGCCGGCTGGGGGAAAAACACTCAAAGTGCACTCCCTGTTTCTACAGACCTGGAGCATCCCTGGATTAGAATTCCAGCTGCCTACCCAGAGCAACCAATATGGTTAATTATAAAGGTAGAGGAATGTTTTATTGAACCTCAGAGCAGGGAGACACCTGTCGGCAAATGAAAGGCAGAACTCTCTAAGTTTCTCCCCCAAGCTCTCTTCTGTCTGTGTGCTTAATGCCTTGGCATCTTTCTCTGCTCCTCAGGTGCACTTGATGAAATATGGGCACCCTGGGATTGCATCTTATAGTTCCAGTCAAATGGAAGATTGACGTGAGCCTCTTGGCTCTGATTCCAAATTCCTGGGAGGCAAGATATGACTGGCTAAGCTTTGCTCATGATTCGAGCTCTGATCCAGTGAGTTATAAGCAGAGGACATGTTCATGCAGTAGAAATGTGGGTGGAAGAGTCACCCTCTAGATTCTGGAATCAGCTCCCAGAAAGAGGGAAATCACTAGGAACTTGGCAGACACTCCCAAAGATATCAGCTATAATTATCTTCACAAATGAGGCTCAGCACATTTTCCACCACAAATGGGTTTTTGAGAGAATAATAAATGCTGGTTTCCCATGACATGCTAATTAATAGCCTAATCTCTGCCCAAAAAAAATTTCTAAAAGTATTTTTAATTATTAAACCAAATATAATTGCATCCTAAATAATTTGAGCTGTGTATTTGGCACTCTCCATTTCCTGAACATCTACTCCTCAAGTATAGAGCAGGTCATGAACTAAGGTTCCTCAACTTGGAACTGAGCTCTGAGAGCCTCTGCCAGGACAGTGAATCAAATGTGCCTGCCCCATGGACAAGAGTTGATCAGCAGCACCCCCTCTGGTCTGATTACCTTCTCCTGCAAACGTCTAAAATCCAGCCTAAGTTGGGAAGTTACTGCATCCCCAGATGATTTGCTTGGATAATTCCCTCACCTCCAAGGATTTGTTCAAATGTCACCATCTTCAGAAGGCCTACCCTCCTGACCAATTACTGACAATAGCAACCCTCTTCCAATCCTCCTGATTCCCTCCGTCCTTCACTGTCTTGTCTTTTCCCCGGCATGCCTATTTCCATCTAATACATCAAACACATTACTTACCTATTGTGTTCATCTTGTATTTTCTTCACTGCTCCCTTATTTCTCTTGTGCTAGAATACGACCTTCACAGAGCCAGGGATTTTATTTTTCTATTGTTACTAATGTATCTGAATATCTAGAAGGGTGCCTGGCACATAACACATGGTCAGTAAGTATGTTTTGGTTATTGAATGATTGAGTTGGAGAAGAAAGAATGATGAGTGTAAATCTGCTAGTGAGAAATAAGGGGGATGGTTCTGCCTTGGATGGTTTCAACGTTGTTTTTGGCCTTAGACAATATTGAGTCTACTGAACCTCAAACATGACACAGACCTTCATTTACTGAGATTTCCTTTTAGCTCTTTCAATAGCGTTTCATGATTTCTCCATGGGAGTCTTGTGTGATTTTTAAAGTTTGTTTCTAGGCCCTTGTAACAGTTAGGGTTCAACAAGAGAAGCAGAACCAGCAGAAGAAGTTATCTATGAATAGACTTACAGCAAGGAATTGGATTATGTGATTGTGGAGTCTGGCAAGGCAAATCCAATAACTACAGGGCAGGAAGGGCAGGCTGGAACTCTCAGGCAGAAGCTGAAGCTGCTGTCCACTGGCAGAATTTCTTCTTCAAGGTAGCTTTAGTTTTATTCTTAAGACTTCTCAATTGGCTCAGTGAGTACTGCAGTGAGAACCTTTCAGAGCTATCCATTCTCACCTGTGCAGGCCTCCAGCCAGCAGCTGCTCTTGCCTGTTGGATGAGCACTGGGCCCTTTGTGGGGAAAACATGTCAATGAGAAAGAGAAATTTTACATGGAATCTAGTGACTCTAGAAGTGTTCAGATCTGTGAAAAATCTAGTATGACTTTTTCCTTTCTTTCTCTCCTCAATTTAAACCATTCTCTTCATTCTCAGTTTGCAGGAGAAATCTTAACCACAGGTTGTTCCTGACTTTTCTGTTCCTAACTCACCAGAATCCTGGGGATCCTGGGGGATGTTTTCTGTAGCACCTTCTCCCTCCATACTTTGACAATGCTCTCCTGAATAGGACTCCTCACACACAGAAACAAAAGCTGTGAGGTGGGGCTAATTTTTTATAGGTTCCACTAAGTTGT